GGCAATCGCAATGAGCCTCGAGCTGCTCACTCGAAGGCAAAAGCATCGGGATGCAGTTCATCACGGCAGTCGAGCACGTTTCAACCTCAGTGGGTAGAAAGTCAGTCAGTTGGTTAGTCATCCAGGCATTCAGCCATTCAGTCACTCGGGCTGCACATGCAGGATAAGTGAGTAGTTTATTTAGTATAAACAAACTGGCGAACAGCACAACTACTGCCAAACAACAGCCGCCAGGAATAAAGGCTACAAAACTGATGTACTGCGCAGAGAATAGAAAAAAATTGGTATTCGAAAAAAGGAAAGAATAGAGGGGAATTCTGAATACGCTTAAAAAAAAACTTTCAACTTAAATACGATAAAGCAATATTTTGTTTTTAAGATGTATTGAAATAAATATAACAAATTTAAAAATTAAATACAACTGCTTCTTTAAGGGATATAAAATAAATTTTAAAAAAATGGTAAGACGCTATATGTTAAATATAAAATTACAAAACACTTTAAATTAATTAGTAAATGAATAACAAATTTATACAAAAATTCGAAACAAGTTATTGAAGTTGAATTTCTGATTTTAAAAAGGGTAATTTTTTAAAGTTATATATTGCAATAATTTTCTAAAAATCAGTATATTATACACAATATAAAAGTAAGTAAAGTTAGTAAAATCCTAATGAAGGCTATTGAATTTTCCTGTTCATCAAGCGATGTTAACAAAAAACAAGGCAATTAAAAACCTGCAACTACAATGCACGAACAGCCCGATTAAAAATCCCCAAGGCAATGAATGGAAAATTCGAGCAAACACATCCCGAACGTAGAACTCGAATGTTTTCTTTCTACGCCCTGGAAAAGCGCTCCAATTCGGGATGCGGTGCATTTGATAAGCGGCACGTAGCACACGCCAGAGAGCATGGGATAGCATTTTCCAGCTGCGAGTGGAAATCTGAGAACAGAAAGCCTGGCCTGAGAACCGATTGCCGAGTGCTTTATTATCTATATAGTGGGTTAGGATGCCTCGCATTTGTTTGCCACTCGCACACACAAAGGAATGGCAAAATGGCGGATCCTCGTGGGTGAAATGTACCTGCAAGGATGCGCAAGGATACGGAGAGCATTAGTGGGAAATCTTTCAGGGCACACCTGAAAACCCCCCAGCCCAACCCCCTCGTTCAATTGCATTAGAATTTAAGATAAGTTCGAGGCAAAAGCGGGAAACTGGAGTGTGAGTAATGGCAGTGGGTTGGGGTGAGTGGAAAACTGGGAAGTGGAAACTCCCAGATTACGATTCTCGGTTTACAGGCTGCTCCTTCTCCTGCTGCTGCTCCTTATTGTGTGTGTTCGAGTTGCACTGTGTTTGTGTGTGTGTGTGGGGGGCAACTTGTTTACCAAACTTTATTACAACTTGGCAAACAGTCGTCGCCTTTGTAGTTGGCTCAAGTCGAGTTCTGTTGCTTTGTCTGCTAACTGATTGCAGTTACAATCAGTTTATTGTACGAGCCTGCTGCAGGATAGATTCGCTTGGACACACACACCAACACACATCCACTCACCCACACACACACACACACACACACTCACTGGCAGAGTGTGCTACCTTGTATCCTGGCTGCAACTCGAAACATGGCAAACAGCAGGAGCAAAGTGGAAAAAGGACTTTGTTGCCGGCAACAAGCAGCAAAAGATGATGCCAACGTCTCCACTCGAGAGCGGATAATTTGTAAATTTTATAACTTCAAGTAGTAAACTTTGAGCGAATTAGAAACTGACATTGTAACAATCAATTTACAGAATGGATTTCAAGGCTTAAAACTTTCTTACCTACCACTTAAAAATTAATATATAGGTATTTATACAACATATATTTTATTATAAGATTTATTTTATTGGTAAGATTGTTACCAAAAATTATATCTTTAACCTTTAAAATATATTTCTTTTTCAAAAACTTTAGTATCACAAAAACTGGTTATTTGTAATTTAAAGTAAACTACCATTTTTCACATCATTTTGTCACCCACAAAATTACTGAACCCTAAATCAAAAATCGATAGAAAAAAGGCGAAATGTCATAAGTGATTTCCTGTTCCGTTTCACGTTCCAATCAAGCGTAAAATAATTTTGTAAAAATATTTACACAACTCGGGACCCGAAAAACGGAAAATATGAATGTGAGCAAGCCAGCGAAAGATGAAAAATGAATGGGGAAATGTGAAAAGCTGAGCTACTCGGGTTGTGTTGCTGGTGACAACTGGCCAGGGTTTTCCGCAGGCACTCGACCAAGTTGGCTCCGAAGTTTCCCAGCTTTTCGCTTCAATGCGTAGTGGCCGCCCAATAGAATGGCTTTCATCAGTGTCAGATTAGGGCGTGGTCGGGGCGAAATCACAGACATAACCGCCATCCTCACACTTGGTAACCATACATATATATATATAGGAGTATGTTTATATAGAACAGGCACATTCAGAGCTTCCTAAGAAGGCGCATAAATTCCAGACACTGCCACCCTGGTGATTTGTGGTGCTGAGACCACATCAAACATGGGAGATTTTCACGGGTTCGCCGGCGGGAGTGGAATGGCATGGAATGGAAATGGAGTTCCTCAGACAGAGACTAAGTGTGGGTTAAGCACACTTGAAGTATGTGCACGCTTGGGTTAAGAAAAAGGATTTGCCAGCCCCGAAAAGCTTCCTTCTCCATTTTCCCGTGGGGGTACACAGCAAACAAAAAGGGATATATAGTAGTAAAATGAAACATATTACAAAGCATATAAATACAAAGATAATTATGGGATTATACTAATCAGGAAATTAATTAAAGGCTTTTAAAATGTATTTACAAATTTTTTAATAAGTATTTTAATTCTTTTTTGTCTGTGCATACAGTATGAAAAGAAAAACCCACTCACAGCCATTCACTCGTTGACGGGTTGAGGAAAATATGAAAAGTCGTCTTGCCGGGAAAACCGAGTTGGGATCTCCTGCCAAGGTGAGGATTGTGGTCTCTGCGGCTCTGAGTTCCTTGCGGCTTACAATATATATAGCATATATATATTTATATATACAATAGTGTGTCTGAATACTTTTCTTGTGCTTATGTTTTTTTTCCGGTTTTTCACCTGCGACAGCCACGAGTAATGCAATTATATTGAGCCAGGTTTTCTGTCACAACTTTTTCACTTTTCCCGCACATACAGCATTTCCCGCCTTATGGCATTGAAGTGGAATGGCTAAATGGATATGAACAGGTAAACAGCAAAAGACAAGAATAAACTATTGAAACTGTATGGGAATTTATGGAGGTATCAAGAGTGCGGTGAAAGTGAAAACTTTATCTTATCTTTAGACGGATCCCTTTCTCCTGCAGTCTCGATTTGTCGGCTGAAATCCCCCTTATTTACGGCAACAGGCAGCCAGGGTAATTGCCAAAGTTTATTAACGGAAACAAAAACCGAGGGCCACCGACAAAGGACCAAATTGCAGAAATCGGGAGATGGAGCGTCCATGAATATGAAATGAAGTCATGGAAGGCCCAGACAGAAAGCCAAAGAGATTCCCTTTGGGAGGCTTTGGCTGGATGTCCGCGGAGTGCGAGGCGGTCATAAACAACAATTTATAAGCTTTAATGAAAATTGGCCGGAAGAAGAAGTTTGCCGGCTCACTGCGGCTTTTTTTTTTGAGCGACTTGCAAATAAATTAACTGCTAACCCGGCGAATGCAAATTAAGAGCCTTGTTTACACCTCGGACTGGTTGAACCCACCTGTCCCCCTTTTTTGGCCATTAAATTTATGCCCCACGCGGGAATTCGCCACCGACTGCTCATAAATCCTGCACCTTTTTCAAAACCATCACTGCTCTCCGTTCACGAAATTGTCCTTTCGCTTTCGACAAATGCATATGGAAATTTTATGCAAATTTTCCATTGTGTCAGCAATTTGTAACGAATTTGCGCTGTGAAATGGTACGAAAAAGCCGCCGCAGGCTGGAAAATTTAATTTGCCCTGTGCGGTAGGTAAATCAAATTGCATAAACGTCAATTTGCTAATCCAATATTTGAGCCAAAAGTTGGCGAGCTCTGCGTCGTTTTTGAGTGGCGCTCTTCAATTCAAACTTTTTGAGTCGAGCACTTTAAGTGGCGAGTGGAAAGTTTTGCGAGTGCCAGTGCAACTGAAGCTGACAAAATATTTTCTGATTACTTTGCCACATTGGCAACACTTGAAGATGTCCCCAAAGAGCTGACAGCGGAAGAAAAGCGATGGAAGCGCTCGGCGAATATTTTCAAAATAAATGTTATTGTAACGAAAGTTGCTGCAACTGATAAAGAATGGGAAGTGGTCACAATTTCTTCGGGGGGCAGAAGGGACTGCCTGTTGATGGCACTTTGATGAGGAGAACTTGGTCAGCTTCAATTACTTGGATTCGGATCCGGACCTGGATCCTCGTCCTGCCGTGACTGGGCCGCATTAGAAATCGGGGGAACCCAGGGCATCATCATCATAATCAACAGTCAACAAAAAGGAAGCAAGTCCAACACGTGACTACACCACAAAACTCTCAGGAATATAAAAGTTTTCCGCCCAGCAGCCTCATCCCTCTGGCAAATGAGCTGCTGGCATTTTGCTGTTTTCATTTTTTTTTTTTGGTCGGTAGCTGTCTGCACTTAATGGAAAATGTCAGTTCGCCTCCGGCGTCAAACGTTTTATTGAAGTTTTCACCGAGGCAGCGAACTCGCTGTGCGTCATCTGCTCCTTTGGCCACCTTTGGATTTCCCGCTCCGCGGATTCAATCGCTAGTATTTTCCGTGGCCAGCCGTTAAACTTAACGAACCGGAAGTGGTAAAGGGAAAAGCTCAGGGAAAAGTACTCGAGTTCTCGCAGATATGATAGAAAAGCAGTGCTGTCAAATTGCCGTGAAAAATTGTTGTTAATTCTGATGGAGAAATTCTCAGAAATTCAACGAATTCAAATGGTATATGAAATGCTACGAAATTGTAAATCATATCCTCATTGAAATTTAATTCAGTCAGCATATCTAAAAACAAGTCACTGATAATATTTAATTCATCGAAAAAGTATATACCATTTTTGATAAAATGAGCAGTAAAATTAGTAAGTCCAAATCGACATCATCTAAGCCTGTGGCATCATCGGCGAAAACTAATAAAAATGCTTCAGGCGAGTGTCAAGTTTTCACTTGCCAGTTTGAAGTATTTGGTCATGTACAGGGTAAAAATAAAGAATATGTATTTGAACACTACATTTCAACTAATAATTATACCTTGTTTCAGGTGTATTTTTCCGGAAGGTAAGCTACCGATTTTTAAAAATATTTTTTAATGATATTATTTGGTTACTTTTAGCACACCCAAAAAAAGGCCAACGAGCTGGGAATTACTGGCTGGTGCATGAACACAACTCAGGGAACAGTAAAAGGAATGCTAGAAGGATCTTTGGACCAATTGACTGACATGTAAGAAAACTTAAAAAAATAACAATTAAAAGATTAGTTACTATTTTTATTATTTAGGAAATATTGGCTGCAGCACAAAGGAAGTCCTCGTTCTGTTATTGAAAAAGCAGTTTTCTCCGAAAATGAATCCTTGCCCATCAACAATTTTAAACTCTTTTCGATTCGTCGCTAAGCTTCAACATTATTTCCAAATTCCGTAATTAGTTTTGTCAAGTTGAAACAATATTATTTTTATCCTTCTATTACCAATTGTCAGGCCATGAGACTAAAACGTGACGATGGCTGAGAACACGAAATAAAAATTTAGTTCTGGCTCCCAAGGCAATTGTCATATTATGTGTGTTGCCGCAAATGGCCAAAGTTGGCCATTCTCTGGGGATCCATGGTGGCTTGCCAATTAGCCAGGCCATGAGCCATTGCAAATTGCCTTTCTAACATTTTTCCATAGCAATTTTTACACTGATGCCGCGCCAATTGTCAAAACAATTTCAATTTGTTTTTTCAGCCATCAAACCGTTGGTGTTTTCGACTACAAAACGGGCAAAGTTTCGGCTCGCTTCTGCCAATTTTGCGACAAATATTGTGCATCCCGAAAAGGGCAAAACAAATTTACATAAATAAATAAAAGTTGACTGAGTTCGCAAATGGTAACAGTTGGCGCCGGATGGCAATTAAAAGCCTCTGCGCCACTCGACGGTTTGTTTTTTATTGTGTTTATCTTTTTCACCAAGGGGATGCTCCAAGCCGACTCCGCTTCATCCAGTTGTTATTTATTTGGATTGTTTTGTGTGTCTGCAAACACTTTATTTTAAACTGTTAAAACCGCAGAAAGCGCACTGGCTAAACAAAATTGTTTTCGTTGACCAACTGCCAGTGTCGAAGGATTTGGCGGCTGTAATGGGAATTTAAATTGTTCGAATTGCAAGTTTCCCTCTATAATTATTTAAAGAGCTTTTTCGGCTTGACAATGATTCTAAAATATAAGTTATAAATATTTTACAATTATTTCAACCGGCAACAATCAGAATGTATTTAAATATATTACAATTTTTTTTTACAAAGCCAAAAATCCTAACTATACCCTAATTCCGAGACTTTCTTAAAGGCCTGAACGTAAACTCTTCTGCCAATCAGTGAAACTCATTTCAGGACATTGGAAATCTTCCTTGATCCTGCTCCTGAAGCCTCCGATTTCTTGAAAGCACTATTTCCTGGGGAGTTTTCCTATCCCTGGCTATTTCCCTGCATAATAATCGTCTATAGAGGAGCATTTTGCGTTTAGTTTCTGGAGTTCCGACGGCGGTACTGAACTGCATTCCAGGATTGTATCTTCGGGACGGCGATCTTTGCAAGGAAATAGGTCCAAAAAAGACAGGATAGGAATAGAGGATGGTGTTCGATGCCTCGATTGCCAAAGAAGGCCAGAGTTAGAGCCAATGGTATCGGATTCATGATAAAATAAGGCTCAACTCTGGACCTTCTCTGCTTGTTGTTAACTTACGCCTTTTTGTCAGACATTTCGATTGGAAAAAATGGAACTAAAAGTCCAGCCCAAGAGTTTACGTTATAATTTTGAGGGAATTTTGCAAACTAAAGAGAAATGTTCTTAGGAAGTATTACAAAAGTGATGAAGTTAAATTCATGGCTAACTTGATCTTAATTTTCAGAAGTATTGTTGAATGAATATTATCATACATACTTTTGTACTGCAATTTTTAAATTTTCTTTAAGCGAGATATCAAACCCAACACATTGATACAGTTTCTGTTTCGCTTTCAAAATTTTTGGGAAATTTTTCCCTGCATTTTCCGCCATAACAACGGACCAGCCGACCAAATTAAGTCATTAAATGCCGCCGAATTCCGAATGCACCACAGCCAAACGACAACAAAACACGCAAACAGATAAAAACCCCGGAGTTGGGGTTCAAAAAAAAAAAGAAAATTCTGGGGAGTGGAACCGCTAAAAGCCGGATTCGGTAGCGCCGATAATCAATTCCGTTTCCGGCTGACAGTTTGCCGCATCGTGCGTGACCCAAAATATGCATAAACAGCACAAGGAAAATAATAATAATTGTAATAATTCCGTGATCCGCCAAAGCAAAAGGGCGGCGACAGGCCGAAGGGGGCGTGGCATGTGGTGCACGGCTTTCGAAACTTTCAAATCGCGTGCTCGCATGTCGAAAACTGTTGGAAAACCCGCTCCATTAGCCGTTGATAACGAGTTCATTGACGAGTTCATTGGCACATTGATTCCCAATGATTGCACGGAGCGGCATTTTCGAGGGGGCACGGCTCTAAATGCGGTTAGTGTGGCGGCTTAAATGTGCATGCTAATCGGGCAGCGAAGTCGAAATGGCAGAGTTGCAAAAAGGAGTTGCAAGGAAGGAGGTAAAATACATTGACTTAAAATCTGGAAGATGTTGAGACCGATGTGAAAGGAAATATTTTAATTCCTAGTCACAAATTTAAAGGGTTCTTAAATAAATTGCTATTTGATTAAATTTTAATTTATAAAATGTAGCATTTAGTTCTGTATTGTGTCTGCATAAAGAATTCATATTTTCTAATAAAATTTTTTTTGACAATTTAATTTTGCTAAAGTAGCTAATATAATAAAAGAATTATTTTTAAACCTTTTTTAGGCCTAACTGAGAATCTATAATTTGTAGTACCTCCTTTGCAATCCAATTATAATTTCATTTCATTTTCTTTTTTTCTCATATTTTACCGAATATTATAAAGTTGAATACTCTTTCCAATATTTTGAGCCCAATCCCACTATTCGAACCTATTCCAGTTCCGGCTGCAGCGGCTTATTAGCCATGCAGACCATGTTCCTTCGGGCCACACTAAGCCACATAAGGCCCCCGAAAACTGCCGGCTGACTGTATTCCAAATCTCAGACCACACAAAATCGCTCCAGACGAATACGTGGGGCGAAATTGCCGCATCACCAGAAGCAGCAACAGAAGCAGCTGGAACCCCCAATTTCCCTGCCCCACGTTTGTCTAGACACAAAACCCATTGCTGTGCCACCGAAAAAAAATTATTCCCGTTGCGCAAATGTTGCATTATAGACTAGAGAGCGATGAAGGAAGCAAGTGTGGCAGTTGTGAACGAGGGGTTCGAGTTTAGATTTAGGAACAGCCGTTACCTCGAAGGGAAAACTTATTAAAATTTTACAGCCCCAATTTCAGCTGTCAGAAATGAAGAAAATTCTCCAGGCTACTTGGACAAAAAATATAGAATCTTTAAGATGATTTTATCCTAAATTGGCATAAATATGTAATAAATTTCTATAAATTCTATTCTTTTGTTCAACGAATACGTTCTTTCTGCTATTTATTTTACAATAATTCACTTCTTAATTAAAAATGTAAAATATTTACGTGGCATTGCATGACTTCGCCTCGTGTTACGTGGCAATTTGACGAATGTAACCCTTGATTAACCCTGATCCGGGGTCAAACCTCGAACCGGGTCTAAAATCAGTTTTAGGCCCTTTGCATGCAGCTGGAATTTTCAGGGAGAAGGCAAGCAAACTTTGCATAATAAATGAAGGCGATAAGAATGCTGTCCGACTTTGTTTATGTTTATGTTTCTTTGCCTTTTATTTTTTATGGAATACCTGGGGGCGAAAGGAAACTTTTGCGGATGGCGAATGCTGTCTGTGTCCTGATTTCGGATCCCAAAATGCCTCGGGCTGAGAAAAAACTTCGCTTTGAAGATTTCCACACTGAAAGCCCTTTTGTTTTGCAGTTATCGAAAAGAATCAAGGGTCAAATTAGCCTTTGAACTTTTCTACCAGCTGCCAAACAGAATTTCAGTCAGTCAGCAAAAGATGTGAGTGAAATCGGGTCAATTTTTTTTGTATAAAAAAGAACACAAATAAACAATTTTTCGACTTGCAAAATGAAAGAGACCGAAATTTCGGAAAATCAAAATTTAACTCAAAAACACAAGATGAAACCAGCAAGTGCACTCAGTGAAAACAAGGGGTTATTTGCATTGGTATTGTCAGATTTTTCTCGTCTGCGTGATGAACCCAATTTTGACAATGAAAAGCCAAAGGCCCATATGGATCACAATATGAAGCACTCTAATGTGGAAAATTTAGGGGAAATACCTAACGAAAAAGTTTCGGAAACATCTGAGGAAAGGGACACATCTTTAGGAGAACTGGAAAAAAAGAAAGAAATCGCAGAAACCAAAGAGGAAAACATATTAAAAGCCATCCCGCCAAGCCATGAGGAAGATCCTAAAAAGCCGAATGCCGATCCAAATATAAAGCAATCTCATGTAAACAATTTCGAGGAATTTCGACCTAACGAAAAAGTTCAAGAAAGCTCCGAAGAAAGGGACGAATTGTCAGAAGAACTGGAAACCAAGAAGGAAATCCTGGAAACCAAGGAGGAAAACCTATTAAAAGCCATTCCGCCAAGCCATAGAGATCCTAAAAAAGAACTTGAGGATGAAGAGCCAGAAGACATCGCCCAAGCCAAAATAAAATGCCAAGAACTGAATATGGAACCAAAAGAGTCTCTGGAATCAAATGAAGTTACAGTCAAGGCGGAAAACCCTTCTGAACTTAGTAACCCCTCCGAAGAAACAACTTCTATGAAACCCATGGAGCAAAGTCTAGGAGAGTTAAAAGATGGAGCTTCTGAAAAAACGCTAAGAGTCGAAGAACACCAAGAAAATCTGAAGCAAACCAAGCAGTTGGATGCCGAAGATTCAATGGAAAATCCAAAGGAAGAAATTAAAGCATGCAAGGAACATGAGAAAAGCTCTACAGAAACAACAGAAAAAGCCCAAGAATCGGTCGCCCCAAAGGATCCAAATCAAATGACAGCCAATTCCTCTCCAGAAAACCCGGCAGATCCGCGTGAACAAATCAAAAAGGACATGGAAAACTATTTCAACGGCATTCAAGCCCTGGAGGAAAAAAAGAAAATGCTCGATAAAATTGATGCCGCGGAAGCTGAATCCATTTTGAAGGAGGAACGACGAAGGAGCACCTGGAATAGAATTCTCTCAAATCTCACCAAAGTTGCCTCTTTAATCAGTACTGAGTAAGAAATTATATATATATTTTGAATATTTATAAAACCTTTTATTTATAGTACCTCTTCTGCGGAAAAGGCTTCTCAATCTGTGGTAGATAATCTTATTCTGCAGCGAACAGCCAAGGCGGAATACAAAAAGAAAATGAGTGTCCTTAAGGATAACTTTACCTATCGCCTGGAGCTGATAAAGCAACTAAAACACGACCTGAAAAACAAGTTTAAGAGCGAGGCCCAGCAACTCCAAACCGATTATCATTACATTAAGAACCAGACACGAAACAAAACCACTTTAAATGAGGTGCACGGCGTTCACTCAATTTCAAATACTTTCGATCAAGAGTAAAAATTTGTAGATGTCTCACCTGAATTTAATCCCGGAACCAGTGACCCGATTTCAACTCTTGTAGAGTTGTCACCCCTCTAAAAGTATGAGGTTCGTGGGACTGTACCGTTTGGATTCATTGTGTGCACTTGCTTCTTTGCATCTTGAAGAAGTGCAACTGTATCTCATTAACTGAGTTTTAATTGTACAGTCACCACTCTGTTCGCCCCTCGGAATGCAACATTATTTTTTCACCCCACCGAGTAACCTTAAATTTGCGCCACTTCTGTTTTGCATGTCGAAATAAAAACAGCTCACAGCGAAGACAATGAAAATTGACCCAAATACCTGGCTCTATTGTAATTCTCCTCCTTTGGTATTGTAATTTATGGACTGCGAAAGTGAGGGTGGCACTTTTTGGGGTCGCAGTTGTTGGAGGGACGAAAAGTGGAGCAGCCAAGTGAACAAAAGGTGCTCGCTGAATATCCTGTTCAGATTGTTTTGCTGGCTTTAAGAGTTCACTTTCCAGTAAAATTTATTGTTTCAAATACGGAGCTATTGTGTTGTGATTTTCAGTGGGAATTAAAAACTTGGAACTAGGTTAAAATTCATATAGATATGAAATCTGTGCGAGGTTTCTCTGTATTTATTTACGTTATTATGCATGTAAAGCAATGTACTCAAGTTTAAATTATATTTCAATTTTATGTTTTATGGTAGTATGTTGTTTTTAGTTTTTATCATATGTAATTTTTATTTCTGTAATGCTTTACTTTCCAGTTTATTTATTTATTTCGTTTTGGTTTTTGCAAAAATGATTTTTGCTAAAAAATAAATGTGAACAAATCGAAGTCAGAAATGTTTCCACAACAATTTTCTTTAACATACTTGAAAGGTTCATCCGCTTAGGGAAACTTTAAACTTTCCCGAGGCCGTTGATCGCCATGCTCGTGGGTGGAAATCGCTCCCCGGGCGGCTAATCCGTTCAAAGCTGCCAAAAATCCCCGGCGTTCTCGTTCGCTGTGACGCACAAAAAGTTGGCTTGAAAACGGGAGGGGGAGTGAAGTGGGCAAAAAGTGACGGGCGGACGGACACTCGTGGCAGGCGCTTAGCAACAGACAGACAATGGCTACAGGCCTAAGACCACGCCCCCTTCTCGCCTCCTCAGCCGCCCCCTGCGGCGGCTTACAACAAAGCGAAATGGTAAATAAAGGCCAGAAGCGCTGACAGCGGGCGTTGAAATGGAAATCAAAATCCGATCCCCATCCCCAAAAAATCAAAGCAAATCAATGCGAAGCTAACGCTTTTCTCTCCCTTCCAAAAATAAAAGAATATTTGATGAAAATTGAAAATTTACTTTGGCAATTTGGATTGCTACACTGTTCCTACAATGAAATATGTCAATTTCAATTACACGAGGGTAAAACACACGCCCCTCGCCGCGGGCCAAAAAAGTACTCGAATCCGAATTTATTTCTGCGCTCCCAACAAATGTGTCAATTTCGCTGTAAAGCTCTATCGATTGCAGAATTGGCAACGCCTTCGATTGAGCCATCAACTGGGGCAATTGATTGTCGGCTCGGTAATTATAGTTGTTACCGCTCATGTTGGCCGGGAATTTGCTGACAGTTGTCTGTCGCCCGAGGCGTGGATTGCGAAACGCAGGAACATGGAATTAGCCAATAAATAGAATTTTCTTTAAGGCAGCTTACTTGGCCACGTGGGCAGGTTGCCTTAGAAGTTTAGTTTTCTTACATAAAATAGCTTAAGGGGAATAAAATTTGAAATGTATTGAAGGTATTTATAAATAAATTCTATGACAACCATTTAATATTTATCGAAATTTAAATACCAATTTTAAGACATGATTAAATGTCCTAAAGCTGGTGTAAGAATAAATAATTTTTATTTTGAAAAATTCAAGTAAATAGTTTTACAAACGACATTCGATCATTTGATTTACCCTTGACTTTAAATCTTATCGCTCCCCAGAATTTTCTAATTATAAATATGTATATGCTTCCACAAAAATCTTAGGTAATTACTAATTAGAAATCAAATACTACTTTTGTTTTGTCTAAAGTAAACAGCTAGTGCTCTTGACCGGAAATTCAATTACCATGTGCTAAACCCGGCACGAAACACTTTGAAAACTTTGCGAGAGACTCATCAATTTCTCAGGTCTGCCGTGAGATTTCCTGTAATATAAACTCCTTCGGCGCTGAGGGCCTTATCAATGGGAACTATCAAAAGGCCATAAAACTTTCGCCCAACACTTTGCAGACAGGAAATATGACAGGCCCCGCACAATAAAACGAGCTGCCGGTCATTTGCCATGTCTAACTGACTGAATGCCTAACTGACTATCTGACTGACTGACTGACTGACTATCTGACTGACTGACTGACAGTCTAACTGACTGTCTGGTTGACCATTTGTCGCCGTCCTCTGTCCACCAGATTGATTTGCAAGTGGAAGCGGACAGAGCCGGGATTGAAATTGAACTTGAAAAGTGCACAGCAGACAGGCAATGACAATGACAAGGCTCTCACGATTACACAAAAGCAGCCAAACCAGCAAAGGCAGCAAAACAGCAGCAGCAGAAGTGGAAAATAAAATGCCACGACTCTGGGACTCGACTCCCTGTTGTCGATATGATCTCGTCATTATGTCGCCAAAGGCAGAATATAGCTACCAAAGGGGCAGAGGGAAGATTTTGGGGGGATGGGGGAACAGTCGTCTGCTAGTTGCGTCGTCGTGTGGGCGACACTTTTATGTGAAATTGATGATGATTGAAAGCTGCATCGGATGGAAAAGCGAGGCATTCGCAGACATGACAGCGTGATGCTCACGACAATCGGGATAATACATCGCTGGCAGGTTAAAGGCAATATATCAAAGAAATTTCTTAGGAAAATATTTCATAAATGGCTAAAAGGAATTCCTTAAAAAAATGTTGAATCAATGGAAGAAAATCAATTACTTTGCACAAGTCTTTAATAAAAAGTTTGTTGTACTCCTTTGTAAAAATTGAACAGACTGAAATAACTTGTTTATCCTATTTTACAATAAATAAATTATGTACAATAAATGTTATACATATTTAAAAAATATTTTTCCTTTGATTTTATGCTGATAATTGTTATAAGAACTTCAAAGCTCTGAGTTTCCCAACTTGAGTGTCACATGTCAACTAAAAAACCATCTCATCCCTAGTTGCAATCTTGTAGTTCCTGCCTCTTGCTCATGTCGGCATACGAATTAAACAATTAAAAGGAAAACAGGCAGTGTTCTACACACTCATCCGGGGAATATCCCCCAACCCAGGGTCTCCCATTTAAGGCTGGCCACAGATTTTTATGGCGCCACGATGTTCTGTAAGATATATGTGTCAAAACTACTTCTGTGCCATCGTAAATTTAATTCATAGGCGTCTGCGTCACCAGCTGATGATTGTCATCATCATAATGACGATCATCATCTCCATACCCTTCTCCATAACCATCCCCATCCCCATTCCAATCGCAATCAGAATCAGAATCCCAATCGTGTGGGACTCGTGGACTTGGAGGCGAAATGCTCATTGCATTTTTATCACTTACGCGAAATTGGTTTTTATGTGTCGGGAGTCTCATGTGCGCCTATTAAGTGGAACCGCTGCCTACAATTCCTATACTCCGATTCCTTGGGCGACCGCACTCGACATCAATTCCACATACGCAACTACAATAAGTGAGTGCTCTTTTCGGGAGGGCGAACACGGAATAAGTATACGCAGTGGGGGCTGCGGTAAGGCAGTTAAATGAAATGCTCGGCTGGCCGTTTAAGCGATGACAATCAGCCGAATAGTCAAGTGATATATTGCAAAGCACTTCCAGCCACGAAGGAGAGCGACTTCTTAGTGGCTCTGTCATTGTTTTATTGATTTATAGGAAAGTAACAGCAGCCGCCTGATTGCAGGCACTTTAACTTACGCACTTAATTTGGGTTTCAAATGGTTAGAGAGCAATTACCTGAAACAAAAGAAAATGAGATTATTAGAATGGTGAATGGTTTCAGTGCAATTTAACTAGTACATTTAGCAGCAGAGTGAAATCTTATACTATTAACTCCATATGCCTATCTACTATATAACCTACAACACACAGAGCAAACAAACTTTGACCAACATTTCCTCCTTCCCTCACCGTCCAGTTGAAAAATCTGTCAAGCTCAACAAACTGACAACTTAATGCCACAAGCCGACCAACCAATCCCATACCAATCCTGCCACAGGAGCCACCGAAGGACGAGCACAGGCTCAATGACTTGGCCAGACTGGTCTCTGTGGTAAAATTTAATTTAACATACAATTCAGAATGCCCGGCGACAAATTCTCTGGCCAGGGATTCGGGCCACACAATGGCCGCACGGCCAAAATTGTTGCCAGGACAGAAAGTTTTCGGCCCAAGGCTCGAACCCTTAATTATATTGAGTGTATGAAATCCTTTGGCCACACAATGGCCGGCAGGAAGTGAAAGTGGCCATGTCCTTGTTGCCACTCCACTCCCTGTTCGCCGTCGTGTTTAATCCAAGCAATTTGCAATTTTTGGTAATTTAACTTGACAAAACTTTTTAATGGGCGGGGAAGTCACCCCATCGAACAACTGACAATGGAAACGAATGGCATTTTGTGGCTCCCGTTTCGTTCGTTTCTCTTCTATTCGATTCGATTCGCAACTGTTGCCAGGATTCAGCCATTCAACCGACAGCTCCTTAATCCCGGGAACAGAGGAACCCTTCCTTCGGTCCCATAAAACCATAATTTTTGATTGTTATGTACTTAAAGGCGAATTTCGTCATGTGCGCTGAATGCAAATTTCGTTTTCAATTCCGTTTTTTATGTCTTCCAGGTCTATTATATTTTGATGATTTATGTTTTTCGAGATCTAGGGAAAGGGGAAAATCTTTTGGGAGGGGAAAACGTTAAGCGGACTAAGGCGTTAATATCCTTGGTGCAGGATTTGTCTGCTGGGCAGGGAAAGAGTTGTGGCAATTTACGAGATGATTTGATTTTAATCTCTAACCTCCCTCTGGGAATTGCTCGAAATTCGTATTTTGTTTTTGCCGAATAGGTAATGTGAGCAGATTAAAAAGCAAATATTTAAAGGGCTTAGAAAGGATTTATGAGAATGAGAAAGGAAAAGGTTGTGTGGAAGGGATGTGTGGCTAAAATTATGAATACAACCTGGGATTTGAATGTAACTGAAATTAAAAATAAAATAAAATATAAATAGCTTAATAAGTACATCGATTGATGTGAAGTAAAATCGCGAGTGCATTCATCCGAAAATAATCCAAACCAGGATTAAAATATATTATTTTAAGTTTTACTAAAGAGTTTCAAACTTCAAATAAATCAAAATTCCAAGTTCGACTTTCCCACATTTATTGTTCTCCTTTTCCAATCAGCTCAAATTTAACTTCCTAACTCCCTTCTACTCCTCAATAAGCTGTTTCAATATTTTCTGATAGCTCTAATTACAAACAACAACAGCAGATCGCGTTGACGACAGAAGTTACGACGCAGTGGGAATATAAAGTTGAGGGATAGAGGATAGAGTAGGAAAATAAATGTCCCGCCATAAGCTGTAATTTTTGCGCAAAAGTCGAGCTCCCTTCCCCCGAAAACAGTTTGAACTGTCAAAAATGACAAATAGTCCGACGGGGATTTAATTTTGAATGCACCGCTTCGAGTTGCGCTGCAGTGGAAATTAACGTAACTAAGCGACCTGGAAAAAAAAGCGACTTTCGCAATAGGGAAAAGTCATCGGAAGGAAAAGCAGCACCACCATGGCAACGCAGCAACCACCGAAAATCTCGCAGACGAAAATGGGGAATTAAAAGCGATCCACGTACACTCACCTTCAAAACATTTCGCATCCCCTCCTTTTCTACTTTTCTGTCATTTTTCGAGGGGTGTTTTTTTTTTTACTAGGGGATGCAACCGGGGCCGTTTCATGTTTGTCCGGGAAATTAGTTTGGCTCAGCAGCAGCAGCAGCATCATTGGGAAAAATAAAGGATTTTCTGTTTGACGGCAGTTTAGAGAACGGGACGAGTATTTATAAATTACTCGTCCGCAGCGCAATTGCTCAGCCATACGTTTTATTGCAGTTTGTGAAAAATGCGCAGGCGAATCCCAAGGTTGCCGGGACTACTACGCACGTGTTTGGTGGAAGCCCCTGACCCTTCGGGCCATCCACTTATTAAAAATATTTGTTTGTAGTATCTGCAACCGGGCATTGTCTGTGGATCTCCGGCTGAGGCAACCAGCTTTATTTACGATTCGCTGGGGCATGTAATTAAATTTTTGGATTGCACCTTTTCGGCAAGAAGCTCTGGACAGACAGGCCAAAGGATGTGGGAGTGTGTTTCCTTCTTCAATTTTATAGCAAAGGGAATACATTTATTTAAGGATATTTAAAGTGAGCTTTTGTACATACTTCCAATTTTTTTAAGATATGTATTTAAGTTTGTTTAAATCAGTTTTCTCTATTAATTAATTCCTGATCAAAACATTGAACATTTTATTAATAAATTTTGTTTAGGTAGCTTTTAAATTTTATTTATTTTATTTATTTGTTAAATATTATTTAAAATTATCATTTTCTTCGTACATTTAAATTATGAAATGTACTTTACTTGTATACCTATTTAATATTTTTAGTTGCCAACAATTATTTATATTACTATGCAGCGATAATGTTTTCCTAACTGCTTTCAACTAATTAATTTTTTCCGCACCACTTATCTTATAAGTACACCTTTCGCATAGTTTTTCGTGCCAAACTTCCACTGCGATCGCCATTAATCATCGCATAATTTCGCCAGCCCCCGCGGCTCGTGGGTCATAGCTCATCGGAACTGTAAACTAAACTCATTAATTACTACAATTAGGCAGTACACATTTTTTCCGCTCGCCCTCAAATTGTTTAATCTGGGCAGCGTTTCAGGGCCGTGTTCCCTGCTAAGTGATACGCACGCGACCATCCGAACATCGACATTGGTAAAAACAACTTCCCATTTGGAGTCGTTAAAAAAGCCCCTTTTCAGGATGGATAAGGTATAAAAAATACAACAAAAAAAAAAAGGAAAATATATGTAAAACTGCCGTGCAGCTTTGATTAATGGTTTCTTCCAGCACGTCATAAGCGGGCAGGTCCTGAAAAATCCCTCCCCATCCTTTCATTATCAAAGGCTGAGTGAGCAAAGCACCAGGCCGAATACCTTTTTTGTATTTCATTTTTTTCTCCTTTTCTTAAAAAAGAAAAAAAGGAAAGACGGGGCTCTGTCGTCCAGTCAAGTATAATTAACAACTTTGTTGTTGGGCCGGTTTTCCTTTCGCTGTTCGTTAAGAAATTGCAAAAAGTTGTTGCTCGTTTTATGTAAATGATGTGTAAACACCACGTGCAGGAGTGCCGAGCCCGAGAGACCGAAAGACCGAGTTCATAATAATCCCCGAGCAGTGCAACAATGTGGCAGTTTGAAAAATACTCGATGCATATTCCATTAGAGGGGAAAAGCGAGCTGAAACGAGAGTACAACGACACGTGTCGCCGCGATTTATTAGCATAATTTCTCTTCCTCAGGTTTTTTAATGCTCGCCACGGAAGCATTAAAGCGAAATGGATGTTCATCTACCCGAAATGATCCAAAAGGAGTGAGGGTTTTCAATTTCCCCGGCAGCCAGCGGGCATCATCATCTTCGTCAGCACAAAATCCCCAGAACTACTCGCTTAATTGTTGTGCATTTGTCAACCTGAGCAAAACGAAAAACCAGAGGAAAATCCAACCAACACACTTGAATCTCGAGTAACTTTAAATTCTGGAACAGTAATCCAGATAAAAGTGTCTTGTGCTATTTATGTCTTACTTCGTAGCACATTTGCTGCGACTAGTTCGTAAATTAATTGGATTTGCAATTACACGCCCCACAAGAGCGAGACTAACCGAATGCAGACAGACGGGCAATGGAGGGTTAAGGCGAGAATGTTCCACTATTCGAGTGTATATGTTGAATCGAATGAATAGGGCTGACTAAACGGATGAAAGGGGAAGTCTAGGGATTGAATGAAAAATCTCCTGAAAAGAGCACAATTACAGGAATGTGGGATAAGAAAACAACGCCAGCTAAACTAATTGAGAAGCGCAGAGAACGGCGCAGACTGTCTCCCGTTATTTTTATACTCCGCAATCAATGGGAATACGAGTATATATGGTATTCACCTGGTCGTAAAATGCAAGCAAAGAAAGCCACAACCATTCATGACACAAGTCGGTGAATACTTTCTCCCCCTCAAGGCATTCTTATCCCTCCTTCAGATCGACCATTAAACTAATTGCTGGCATACAACATTTTTATTGCATTTGCCGACTCCTTTTCTGGCATTCCATTTCGAACATGCCGACGCTTAATATGCATAACAATAAATGGTCACCAAACCCACTTTGAATTGTAGAAGAGAGCAGTTTGGGGAATACACACTCAAAGTGATGGCGAAAATCAAAGGCTGGAAAAGCGAAAGCAAATCGCTCGAAGGCCTCACCTGTTCAAACCACTTCAACCAGTGAACATTTCAATACAAACGAAATCGGCAATGGCAATGAACAGACAGCAAATTTCATACGAAATTAAATTAGATTTTTCGTCAGTCGAGGAAATTGCCGCACGCACGCACGCAAACACCAGAAAATATTGAAATTACACACAGGAACGCAGAACTCAAAAATATATATATCTCCCGATCTCTGGCCAGCGAAAGCCCTGCAAAATAACCGCCGGCCGTTTGTTTGCAGACAAACATTCGGCATTCTATATCCAGGTATCTGAGCATCCGAGAGTGGTTTGCGTGCCCAGTCGAACGGAAATGGAAATGGGCAAATGCCTGCGCAAATGTGCGCATTTCAATTAAATTTCCGTTTTAATCACTTTTGCAAGTTCCATTGCAGCGGTCGAGAGTGGTGGACGTGGGTTAAGGATGGGTTAAGGATGGGTTAAGCATGGGTTAAGCAGGGGGTCACAGGACACGCTGCTATGCTCACTCATTAAAACTGTGTCTGGGGTCAGGTCATGCGTTATAATTTGATGATGTTTATCCCTGATCTTATAGTACTTCTCGGGTTAACTCGTTGAGATTCGCATAGAGAGTAGCTTCACTTGTTGAGAATATATTATGATGAGGTTTGACCAAGCGAATATATATAAAAAGCCTCGGTGCCTTTTGGAATATCATTTCAGTAAGTGAACAACTTTGAAAAATCTCATTTGCGTTCCAAAATAATTATCTTAGAGATTTTTTCATATTTAACAGAAAATTCTGCAAATAATAATTATGATTGGAGCTCTTCAATTTAGATTGAAACAACTTGCTCCAAGTGAAGTTGAATTTACGTTTAATTTACCATTTCTTTAAGCGTGTATAAAATAGAACTTTCATTTTGAATTTATAAAATTTCGGGGACTACTATTAATGATCAATGGTTATGTGTATCTAATTTAGGACAGAGTATTTCAAGCCATCCGGTTTCAAAGTGGTTTCACTATCCGTGCTCTCTTGGTAATATTCCTGGTTGTTCCAGACCAAATTCACAGGAATACTGATCGAGATTCCCGACGAGAAGGACTGACCAGTGATTGTGGTGTCCGAACTGCTTCGTTCATTGAGGAGTTCTTCATAGGGGACTATTGCCATGTCCCCGAAATCGGGACCATCGCTTATGCCAGATGAACTGCTGCACAAGGGGTTCTCCTGATCGTGATCCTGATCCCTTAGACCCAACTCAGAAATTATGGGCGAAGTACGGGCTCCACTATCCGGGGAATTCCAGTTTATAGAACCGCTGCTTGGATCAGTGGCCTTCTCCAAATCACTTCCCACAAGAGCCAACATCGAGGAAAGACCCCTTTCCTCGATTCTTTCCTTTCCTCCTCCAGCTTTTGATCTCGGCATGGAGGGAAGATTAGTATCAGTGGTGAAGACATTGCGGCGAAGGAGCTTTTGAAGGGTTTTGAAGGACTCTCGCATCTCATGCAACTGATTTTCATTATACGGCGCGGTCAATGGAGTATTTGGCACTGAAAGGGCGTTGATAATGAATTCCAGATCCTCATCCATGGTGGTCATTTTTTCGATAAAGGAAACAGCAAACTGAATTTAATTTTTTTTAAATTTAGAAATGTTTTACAATTGTGCCAGCCAACTAACTGATGCCTAGATTGAAGTAAATTTAGTAATGTTTAATACTAAGAATTTATGACCTAAGTTCAGTTATAACTACTTACTTCAAGTAAAAATGAATTACAAACTAATTTGTTCTTAAAACTGTTAATCTTTCTTGAGAATTTTAAAAATGTTACTATTATTTTTTTAAGAAAAGATTTTTAAAATATTTACTCAGTTCCTGCTCTATCCATATAAAGTAATTTAGACCTCTTCCTGAAAATGTCCGTTTCAAAAGACAAACTTTTTTCATTAAATTTCGATAGCTTTAAGAACCACCTCTCAAGTTCGTGTTTACTCCGAATCTACATCTCCTTCCTCTCCATCCGATCCCATTCCCGTCGAATTTGCTACAAAGTCATTACGAACAACTTAAGTTTGTGTTAAACACGCCTACATTACCAGATTTTGCATTTGGAGCGGCGGAGACCAAAGTTTAGGGAAAGCAGCTGAGCCGAAGGAAAACTGCAGAAGTGGAGAACTTGGGTTTGGGCCGTGTAATAATTGTAATTTCGCAGCCACATCGGAAAAGCGGAAAAGCAGAGGAGAAAGAGGAAGAAGAACAGGCGGGAACCACGAGGAAAACACGAAAAATAACAATCAGAAAGCATTTAGCAGCAACTTCTGAAAGCGAGAGTCGTCGAGGGAAGTGAGTTTGCTTGTAGACGGCAGGTGGCTTTCTCTATGTTCAAGTTGCAGGTTCGTGTATTTCCGATCCGAGAATGCGTGGTGTTTCCCCCCTTTTTCCTATGTCAACGCCTAGGAAAACTGCAGGGGAAAAACCAGAAACAAACCATGAATTCCTTTAACGATTAAACAAGGAGCAGGAAACCATATAGGATAGAGTATTCCTACCTCCTCCCACCAAAAAAGCACCCATAAATCTCCTTCGGGGTGTTTCCAGAGTGTGTATGTTTGTGTTTCGCCTGGTGTGGCAATTTTAATGGCCTGACCTACTTACGATTACAGCCAGGCACTCTTTCTGCTTTTTATTGAACACTTAAAGTAACTTTCTCGGTGCTGCAAGCGTTTCTTTTAATTGCTCAAATACTTCCCTAAACATTTGTTTCCCTTCATGCGGCACTTGAGTAGAAAGTTTCGCCGCCGTTTGTCCTGCCATTTGTCAGGCATCAGAAAATATGTTTAATAATCTGAACGCATTACCAAAACAGCAGCCACTGTGCAAACAAACGGAAGCAAAAAGGAAATCGGTTGCGGTTGGGGTTTCGGTGCCTTGAGTTCGGTTTCCAAGGGGTTGGATTGCAAGGAGGTAGATGAGGGGCAGACACATGTAGACGACTCCAAAAGGCAGAGGACTCCAGACAGACAGACAAAACAAACAGCGAGGGTGAGATGAAAATATATTAGGAGAGGCGGAGGAGACAGGGGGTTTTCTGATAGCAAGGAGGTTTTTTTTCCACAGTGGAATTCGCTGTAGACTTTTCTGTGATTGTAGAAACTACGCCTCAAAAAAATACAAGAAAAAGGTGTTTCTTAAAAGCAAATTCTTGAGATTTGTGATATTTTTAAAATATTACCATAAAACGGAAAATAGTTCAAAAATCATTTAACATATCTATTTCATAAATATATTAAAAAAAAGCTATTTATACTTTTCAAATTGATTTAATTTAATTTTATATTAAACGTATATATACAAATTTTATTTATGTCATATGATTTGAAATGATTTTAGTTTGTTTCTTAAACTTAATTTACGGAAATGGATTACTCATAAAATTACCTGATTATATGTATGTGTCTAAGTGCCATCTATTTATATTTTAAAATCTAGTTATTTGTTATTATTTGTGTGTTATCTGTGTTTCCGTTGACAATATCCACTGTACCAGCCATTTGCTGCCCGTCTTCCGAGTCACAAAAGCCTATTAAATAACATGGTGCTACACATGCGACCTCTAAAAAGGAAGAAAAGGCAGCAGCAGCCGAAAGTTTTGCTCACAATTGCCAGGATAAAACCCGAGTCGGTGGAATAAGAAGTGGCTTCCATTCAGTCACATGCAGCAGAAGCCCAAAGTGGTCACATGAAAATATGAAAATATTCATGGTTGTGCCGGAAAAAAAAAACAGAAAAATAATGACGACAACAAAAATTCAAGAAAGAAGAGGGGAAACTCGGAAAAAAGTAGAGGGAAACTCGCATGCAGGCAAATGGCAAAAAGTAAACAAATAAACAAATGGGATCGGGCTGTATCCCCGTCTCCCCTGCTACTATATAAATATATATATATATATATGTATATATAGTATAGGGGCGAACTTGAAGAAGGATGACTGTGATAGTCATCCAAGCATGTCTTAGACATTTGCATAGGGACCTGGAGCAACTCGTCTTGCTATTTGCTTTAGTGAGGCATCTTTGGCCAAATTTAGGGGAAAATTCTATTATTTTAGCTGCTCAAACATCGTCTCAAAGTCCCGGCAGTTAGTTGCTCACTTTGCCAGTCTGATGACCGACCACTTGAGTCCTTTGGGCGCCACTTACACATCTATGTAAAACATTTCCCAGCCCCCCGAATCCTTGAACTCCTTTTCCTTCGCCACTTGCACTTTGTGCTGCAGCTGGAAAATAAATGTTCAATTTGTAGTTGTCAATTGGCTACTTAGTGCAGTTGGTAAATGCTTTCCATGGAAGCGGAGCAGCAAAATGCCGAAGCAATTGAAGAGTAAACGAAACTAATGCAGGAATTTGGCAAAGTGCCATCGATGGATGCTGGTATGCTCTGCGAAAGTGAAAGGAGATCCTAAATACTTTCCAGCAAAAGGCTTTGAAGTAATGGAGTGAAAATGCGAAGGAGCAAAGGAGTATTTGATGGATACAAACGTAACATTTTTCAAGTAAACTGTAAACTATTTTAGTGATTTTACATTGAAAGATAACAGAGATATTAATACATATACTTGAATTGTAGGACCCCTTAGCTCAGCTAAAACAACACAAGATGAAGCCATATCATTAACTTTCGGGAACAAGCGGAGTTTTACCTTTTGACCTCTCGATAAGCACCTCATTACTCAAATGCAGAAGGAAAATCCTGCAAAAGGTCGGGTCCAATGGCCAGAATTTTTGTGATTTACTGGCCTCGAAGAACCAAGAACCTAGAATCGCTTGGATCAGCTAAAAACGGCCGAAACATAATAATAATTTGTTAGGTGGAACAAGCGGAGTGCAGAGGAGATAAACAAAATAAATGACAAAAGCATGTCAGCACAAAGAGAAAGGCAGCCGGAAAAGCAAACTAGGAATGGAAATGGAAAATGGATTCGCTGCTCCGAAACGGGAGGCTTTTTGTTGCAACCCTCAGCGATTTTTTGTCTTCTTTCACGGGACTACAGGCATTTGCATAAATTATCATTTGGTGAGCCAGAACAAAAAGCCGGGATGGGCACACAGATAGATAGTATACCTTCGACGACTCCTCTCGTCCTCGTTGGGGAAAAAAGATGGCCAGAAGGCGGGCAATAAAAGGCAAGGCAAATGCATAAAATAACATAAAATAAAACAAGAATTTATGTGCTCGAGCCAAAGCAACGGCAAATATCAAACAAATTGCAATAAAATGCAAATTTAAATAGAAACGGAAAAGTTAACATAAATTCTGGCCGTGCATTAAAGCCCACCTAAGGATGTTCATTTCATCTTTGGCTGAGACAATTTAAAATTTAAATATTTTATGCTTAATTTTAAAGAGTTTTACTGCCGAGCAGCAAGCCGCAAAATGTGGAACGGGGCAGCCCCCTCGGGTTATTTGGCGATGGGGATGGTGAAAGTGGGGGGTGGACGCCCTCCCCCTTGTTTGTTTCCGAGCAGCTGAACACAGCTGGAAAAGTGGTACGGAAAACCAAGACAGCGTTTCCTCACATTTTAATACACTTTTGCACCGAACACGCCAACATGGAAGAGCAAAAAGCAACAGCCGATGGCAGGTGAAGTCTCCATTTCCCCCGGTGGTTATTTGTTTTCTTTCTTTTTTTTTAAGGGAAAACTTTTTCTGCACAATGTATTTTTGCGCATTTTCCACCTGTATGAGCTCGCCCCCGGAAAAACGGAGGGAGTGGCGAGTGGGAAAACCCATCCGGGGAAATCGATTCGTTGTGGTTGTTGCTCTGGTAATGAGACTTCCCACGACCAAAACGGAAAACGCCGAAAGGGAAAGAGCACAATTTTCCAATGTTTTTTTCCAGCTCGTTTCGGTAAATTCGCAACTATGCAAATGGAAGGTAAATAACAGAGCTTAGTCCTTTGGTTCAATTACTGCGAAAAGAACCTGGAAAAGCTCCTCTTTTCGGCTTTCCCAGGGACCGGGGAAAAGCCATTAGCCTGTGGACGAAAATGCGGGGCAGGAGTTCGAGAGCAGCAACAAATCTCGGCTAATTAAAGTCAACAAGCAGAATCATTTGAAATGCAAATGTCAAACGGCAAATGTGTGTGGTCGATGGCGGAGGAGATAATATATGTGTGGTTGGATTAAGCCAACAAAAAGGGCAAGGAATCATGGAAAGAAAAACAATACTTCCATGATGAAAATTCAATGCTCTTCTAATAAGCAGATTTCATAAAATTTAAAAAAAAAAAAAAGAAGTGATGAAGATGATAATATTAAACAAACAATTATGAGTTCCTAGTGATTATCAGAATGCAGTATTCCTTTGCATGATAATTTTGAACTCACATAATTACCAATAATATCACACAACATTTAGCCAAGTCAAAATACCCTTAACAACTTTTTTTGTAGGGTATCCAATATGAATTTCAATCCCCTTCCAACACTTTCACTTAACACTTTTTCCCAGAATTCCCCATATGTTTCATGAGGGCCCCTAACGAGAACCGAACACCCGCACAGGCTAACAATTTTTAACTCTTTAAAGTTGAAGTACACAAATTTTCTGATGAGGGTAATTATTGGCAGACTCCTCGGGGCTGGAAGTTGGAAAGGAAAAAGGGGTAAACCGAGATTTATGCACCATGAGGGCCGCAGAAAAATGAAGATAGAAGGAAGCATAGAATTTCAATTAAAATTAGC